CCAGCCCCTTGATGTGTGTTAAATTAGAAGCCTGCCCCTCAGTTTGCAGCTTTATGATAAGCAAAGAGGTCTCTTTCATGGAAAGACTGGGCACGTTTCAGTCTGCTGCCTCTGCCCTTGTCTCTGATGTGTTTGCCACAGTGAGTTTGCACAAGCTGAGTAAGAAGTGTCTCTTAGTTCACTTTAGTCATGTGGGTCCCATGGATGCAAGCCCTGTTGCTTTTCAAAGATAGATGTTTCAGGGCCCCGTCTCTCAGGTGGAAGTCTTAAAAGTTGTGATGTCAGATGTAGGAACCCGACCCTTCACTACTCATGGAAAAAGTGGGAGTTCTGAGATCCCTTCCAATGTGTGTCATTGTGCCAGGGGTGGGGTTTGTGGCAAGACTGTGCTGCAGCTCCTCTGTCTTGTTTAGGTGTGTATTTTTGTTTTGTTTGTTTTCCCCCTCATTCATCTGATGTGTAGGAGTCACTCAGCTAGTTTCCGGATTTCTTCCAGAGAGAATTATTTCGTATATAGCTCTAGATTCAGTGTGTCCATGGAAGCAGGTGAGTTCAGGAGCCCCTAACGTTTCCATCGGAACTGAAGCTTTTGAGATGCCCAGGCTCATTTTCACCCACCTCTTCACACATCGCACTTCAGCGAACAATGGTCCCCATACAAGAAAGAACAGGTGGCAGTAACTGCAGTGGGAGAGGATGAGCCAATGATCTTCTTGGTTAGGATGGGAGCAGGAAAGGAGTTAGCTGACCTTAGGCTTGAATCATTGAATTCAAGAAATTTTCAAAGCACTTTGAATTATATTACCATGAATCCAGCTTCTGACAGTTTTGAAACTTCACTTGGTCTTCATTTTAAATATCACCCGTGGAAAAAAGCATAAAACCTATGCAAGTTTTCTGTTTTCTACTTATTTATTACCTAATATTATTTTTCAACTTTAATATGAGCTCTCTATTGTTAGAATATGTGGAATAAAGATTTAAAAGCTGATAACACTGTAGATGGAGAGGCTGTTGAGTATTTACTTAATTAGAAATTAAACACTCCAGGGGACCCCAATGTTCATAGCAGCACTATTTACAATAGCCAAGACATGGAAACAGACTAAATGTCCATAAACAGATGACTGGATAAAGAAGATGTGGTATATTTATACAATGGAATACTATTCAGCCATAAAAACCAACAACCTAACATCATTTGCAGCAACATGGTTGCTCCTGAAGAATGTCATTCTATGTGAAGTAAGCCAGAAAGAGAAAGGAAAATACCATATGAGATCACTCATATGTGGAATCTGAAAAAAAAAAGAACATAAATACAAAGCAGAAACAGACTCATAGACATAGAATACAAACTTGTGGTTGCCAAGGGGAGGGGGGTGGGAAGTGATAGACTGGGAGTTCAAAATTTGTACATACTGACAGGCATATGTAGAACACATAAATAAAATTATTACTGTATAGCATAGGGAAATATATACAAGATCTTATGGTAGCTCACAGTGAAAAAAAATGTGACAATGAATATATGCATGTTCATGTATAACTGAAAAATTGTGCTCTACACTGGAATTTGACACAACATTATAAAATGTCTATGACTCAATAAAAACTATTTAAAAAAAATAAAAACAAAACAAAACAAAAACAACTCCGGGGAAGGACACAGCTCAGTGGTAGAGTACATGCTTAGCATGCATGAGGTCCTGGGTCAATAAACCTAATTATGTCCCCACAAAACAAAACTAAAACAAAAATAAATAAATAAATAAATAAATATTTTTATAAACAAAACCAAATAAAGGAAATAAAAAACTCCATGTCAATTCTTATCATCCATAGAAATGTTAAAGAGCTTACCTGAAGCCCGAAACACTTGATTTTATTTATTTATTCAATGAATTTAACTCAGGTTCCTTGTGAAAAGCATCATAAAACATTTCAAGAGACTAAAAAGTAGTTAAATGATAGTTTTTTTTTTTTAAATAGAGTTACTGGGGATTGAACCCAGGACCCTGTGCATGCTAAGCACATGCTCTACTACTGAGCTATACCCCTGCCTCTAGTTAAATGATATCTTGAAAGGATTTTTGAGAATGTAAATGTGTATTTCTATTGAATTAATTTAAAATGCTCATTTTTAAATATCAATGTTTGTATTTTACCAATTGTTTGCTTCTTATATATCTTTTTTCTCTGTTCTCTACTTATTTGAAAATCCTATGGCCTTTGTCACTATGACTGAATTCTGTGTGTCACTGGGAGCATGAGGAATGGTTGGCCGGGAATAGTGACTAGATAATAGTAAATGCCTTGTTATGTGATACCTACACAATTATGCTATCAAGGTCACTTTCTTTTAATCAGTAGTTTCCAACATTTAATCTCCAATTTTTTTCTTGTGAAAGCAACTCAAAACCACATATTAAATCCAAAGCTAAATCTCAGTAATAAAATCTGGTAGTATGGGCCTTCCAAGCTTTCAAGACCTTCCAACTCAACTCAGTTCTTTACCCTTTACATCCGAACAGGAAAGAGCCAGCTTATAGGATCCAGGTCTAGAAAACAATCATGCTATATAATAATTTGTCAGAGATGGCTAGGTGACTCCCAAAATTCAGACATCTCCTTTCATGGTGTAGATTTGTCACCCAAGAGTGGTTCGTCGGCAGCCATTTAATTCCTTAACCCCTTGCACCCAGACTTGGGACAATATGACTGTCTCATACCAATAGAGTATAGGAGGAAGTGAGAGGAGTGTCCAGGCTGTCTCCAACACTATAGTATTTTTCTGCTGGTGAGATGTAGGTAATATAAAGGCCAGGGGCTGGAAGGACTACAGATGGAAGGATCTTCAGTCTGCTCCTCCTTGTGTGAAGGAAAGATACCATGACTGAATACACTGCCCTGGAACCATTACTGCAGCAGGAAGAAACTTCAATTGCAGGAAGCCCTGAGGTGTTTGGGTTTATTTGTAACTAAACCTAATGCAAATAAGATTTTAAAAACATATATTTGACGTTTACTTTGGGTTTTTTTTTAACATTTTTTTATTGAGTTATAATCATTTTATCATATTGTGTCAAATTCCAGTATAGAGCACAATTTTTCAGTTATACATGAACATATATCTATTCATTGTCACATTTTTTTCTCTGTGAGCTACCATAAGATCTTGTATATATTTCCCTGTGCTATACAGTATAATCTTGTTTATCTGTTCTACATTTTGAAATCCCAGTCTTTCCCTTCCCACCCCCTGCCCCCTTGGCAACCACAAGTTTGTATTCTATGTCTATGAGTCTGTTTCTGTTTTGTATTTATGTTTTGGTTTTTTTTTTAGATTCCACATATGAGTGATCTCATATGGTATTTTCCTTTCTCTTTCTGGCTTACTTCACTTAGAATGACATTCTCCAGGAATATCCATGTTGCTGCAAATAGCATTAGGTTGTCAGTTTTTATGGCTGAATAGTATTCCATTGTATAAATATACCACATCTTCTTTATCCAGTCATCTGTCGATTACTTTGTTTTATGTCTTTTAAATCTTTCAGATTCTTTTTTGTTTTAAAAATGTCAATTTTTAAAAGTTGAAGTACAGTCAGTTTACAATGTTGTGTTAATTTCTGGTATACAGCATAGTGTTCAGTTATACACATATAAATAAATCCTTTTCATATTCTTTTTCATTATAGGCTATTAAAAGGTATTGAGTATAGTTCCCCATGCTATACTGTAGGACCTTGCTATTTATCTATTTTATATATAGTAGTTAGTATCTGCAAATCCTAACTCCCAATTTAGCCCTCCATCTTTCCCTTTCCTCTTCTGGTAACCACAAGTTTATTTTCTATGTCTGTGAGTCTGTTTCTATTTTATTTATATTAGTACAAAAATACTAATATTTTAATTATGTTTTAACTTTGATTCACTGCATTTAGAGCATGTCTGGAAAATTAGTATGATATGGTACTGCAAACTTGCAATTAAAGATTCCTTCTGTTTTTCACTCTGGTAGGAAACCCTACAATTGAGGGGCTGGAGCAGAATACTTCTGCCAGACTACGAAGGCTGAATAGAGGGAACTCACATATGTCAATTTGCTAGTTTTTTCATTAACTGTGGCAGGTTTTCTTTTGAGATTCCTTTATTTTTTTCTAAATTTAAGAGTGATACTAAGGTAAAAGAAAACAACTACAAAAAGCATGTATCTGGGTTTGGAGATGAAAAAAGTAGACCTGAAGCAATCTGGTAGCTTTGTGGGTCAACAAGGACCTATATGGCTGCTCTCTTGCTATCTGTACATCCCCTGCCTGACCTGACCCGGCCTTACCCTTACCTTATGTGCATAACTGTCTCCCCATCAAGGGCTGAAACTTTAATCAGTAACTGCCTACATGATCAGCCCTACTCCCAGCTGAGGATTGTTCTAGCCCTTGGACCAGGATGGCTCATGTATGTTTGTTATCAACAGGAAACAAGCAGCCCTCACAATGGTTGCTAACCCAAAGATCTGGAGGGGAGGGGGAAGGAGGGCAGGGAGTGTTCCAGCAGTCCCCCTGGCAACCAAAGAGCCCTTTGGACACCATGCCCCCTATAACTGACAGCCCCCTCCTCCCCTGTGTAGCAAAGATTGCCATTGGCTATCCACGGTGGGGTATCACTCTAGGACCTTTGCCTCTGACTTGTAAGATTCCCTGTCCAATAAATTGCTGATGTCTCCATTGCTGCCTCTGGATTCTTTCTTTGGTCTCAAGAAAATAGGGTTAGTTGCAAGGATTGCAGGACTGTGGGATGCTGCCCAATGGAACCCATTAGAGAGGACAACCCATGAGTGGAAGGACCAAAATGTGCGGAATGGATATCTGCAAGAAATCATGACTTTCTTTGAGAGTATGTGTTATAGCAATACATACCTCTGATATAATCATTATTCCCTCCTTCGTTCAAAGAGATACTGATTTTCTTTAAGGTATTGTTTATAAGGCTCTTACCTGTAGCGTTATCCACTTTGTGAAGAAGATTTAGACCAAGCAGGACTGTGTTCTGAAGGGCGGTAAAGTTGCTGATGAAGGGGGCTTTATCCCCACTGACAAGCACTCGTGGTGGCAGGGCCTTCTGGAACTCAGACACTCTAATAAACGTTGTAGGAAAGAGGGATGTAGCTAGATAGTCCACAGCCACACACCAATCTCTTCCAAAATCTGCTTCTGGTTCAGAATAATATTCCAACCTAAAAGACGAGTGGAAACATGTACCATTATAATTAGTCCACTCGGAATTTCAGCCTCATTGTTTTCTGGAAAAGATCACTTTCTGCTGACAAACTAAGAATGTAGTTTTTAGTTTTAGGATGTGATAGTTTGAGGACCTACCTTTGAAGATATGTAGATAATTAAAAGTTTTAAATTTGGAAAGGATCATCCCATCAATTGTTTATATTTTACTTTGAGTGAGTATCTCTTTTAATCAGATACCTTACAGTTGGAAATCATATAATAACCAGATGTTAGACCATAACTGAGGACTAGAAATATGCAGATAAAAATCAAATGTTCCAAGACAAAATTCTTCCTAAACTCGGACATCCTTTGTAAACTATTGATTCTTTGCGGGGAGCCGCTCGTGATGGAGGGCTGC